TCACGTGAGAAATGCTTTGAATATATATTTTAATTTTCTGTCATATACGTCATGAAACCTCTGTTGATGTGTTTCATGAAAGACGAAACTACCAAAGTCAAGCGCACTTTCGCTTGTCCGCTCCACTGAAGCTTGAAAGAAAGACGAATGAAGCGACGGGAGAAAGGATGACAAACGATTGAAAATTTGTTTGTAGACGCCGACTCAGGTGCTAGAATGATGCGAAGCTGCTCGACTTCCGACAGAAAAAGAAAACTGACAGTCTCTTCGTCACATCGATTTTGTCGATTGAAGCTGATATTGTGACGCGCTGCTCAGAATTTCCTTGAAAATTCCCTCGGAATTCTCCTTAGAATTCAATTGAAGCTGTCCTCAGAATTACCTGAGAATTATACCCAGAACTCCCTTGGAAATCTCTGGAACATTTACCAGAAATCAAGAGGTAATAATTTCTAAGTGTGTAAGCCCTGCTTCTGGCTACACCCATGATTATGAACAATGCCATCAATTAAAAAAAAGAATGAAACATTGAAAGCCTTCTCCCGCTTTCCAAGTTGAAATATAACGGTGAAGACATCTTATTCGATCTTATTGAAAACTTTTTCTCAAAACACCTGGCATCCCTGGTGCGTTCCTTTATTTAACAAGGTTCGCTGTGGTCAGTTCTACGGGTTTATCCGTAGATCTACGGATTTTTGGATTTACTACGCATCTACGGATCCACCATAACATTCAATGGATTTTCCTGATTTTTTAAAAAGTGCCGAAGAAATTCTACGGAATCTCAAAATTTTGGCTCACCCCCCGCTCGCTCAACACCCCCGCTGATTGGTGGGTTTTGGGAAATGAGCATTAGATTTTGTATTGCCGATAGCAGTGCAACGTCAAAATATATGAACTGAGAAAGCAATTGAGTAATAGTTTCCACCAGGCAGTGATGGCATAATCATTAGCAAATTGATATTTTCCGCTCTCATATGCTCTCAATATCACGCGTGATATTGGAGCAAAATATCATGCTTGATATTGATTTTTCAAGCTCCTTTGATATTGCGAGACTATTCACAACGTGTACAGTTGAAGCTAAGAGTTAACGCGACGCAAAAATGATTCCGCTGCACCTCGTTTGCTTAGAAAGAGAATGCTATCACTTTTTGTTTTCACCGATGGCAGACACGAACTGACTACTGCCAGCCGTTATGGAAGCTTCGGTTGCATTCGGGTGTAAATCAAAAATCATGAGACACAGTTTGGTGAGATTTGCAGCTGGTGAGTTTGTTAGGTTGATAATCTGAGCTTGCAATATCAACCGTAGTTGTTTACTTGTTGATTTTTCTCTACGAAAATCAAGCGTGATCTTGTTCTTTGGTGAGATTGGATTTTCAATTTTTTCCCAACACTGGTTCTCACCATCAAATCCGACAGATGTCGCCTCACCTGTGGTCGATAAATCAGTTTTGCGGTATGGAGATTTTCGAAAAATCGTCGATTCTTCTTCAAACCAATTTCATATAAGTAGGCTGATTTGACAGCGCGTCTTTTTTTCCCTTGATTTGTTTTCCGTCGATCATGTTTTCCGTGCTGTGCACCAATGCTACCGACGCCAGGGAGGCAGCTCCCACACCTGGACCCTACCTATCGACCCATCAACTCATGAACCGGGGACCAACGGCTTTACTTCTCTTCCCAAGGAAGGCGTGATCAGAGATTTTATGCCTCAGAACTGGGACTGGGATTGAATCAAGGCCTGCTGGGGTGAGAGGTAATCACTCTTACCACTACACCACCGGTGCCGCTGACAGCACGTCCACCCCCAGTATGAAACACCTAATTCTAGATAAACATTTCAAGAGGTCCTATCTGCATTGATCGATTCTCTTCATCGACTTTCTCTTTCGTTAGTAACATTCCCCGTTGTGTTTGACGTTTTGGATGCTAGATAAGAACCTTCTTGATCAAACTAAGTGGCAAAAATAGAACGAAATCTGTTTGCATAGCCGTGGTTATCAAAGGAGAAAGTCGATGAAGAGAATCGATCAAAGCAGATAGGACATTTTGAAATGTTGTTTTGCAACCAGTGTTGCGATCCGTGGGGATTGCGAAATTTTGGAATATTTTTAATAAGATTATTGTCCTACAATTTAGTAAAATCCATCACATTTTACCAGCATGTGGTGTTTAGTGAACGAAGCTTGACTTGACTGCCTGCAAGACTCTTCCAATTCGCGGTTCGGCAAAAATTTCCAATTATAACTAACGCAGCGGAAACAAATTTACCTACCTACGGATCGTACTCCACGAAAAGTTAACAACACTGACTGTGAGTTGCTTTGTTTACACGTGGAACTGCGTTGTGTTGTACAGTCGCCTCTCTGTGGCCGTTAAGTCGAGAGAGCCTTTTTCATCCGGCCGCTTTGTCCCGGTTGCCGCTGCGTGGAAACTCGCGACGTGGCATTCTCCCATCACCGGGCTCCCGGATCGCCATAAAATCATAATTTTCTGTAATTCCTCGCACCCTGAACCCCAGCGTTCGGCTAGAAAATCCACTGGAGACAGAGAGGAAGTATTATCTAATGGCGCAAAACAACAATGAGGCCAATTTGCTTCGGCCCAGTTGGTGGCAAGTCGAACTTCTTCCTCCAGCTTGATAATGCCATTATCCGCCGCCCAGCAGCAACCATCGGCATCATCATCTTCATCATCATCGTCGTCGGTCGTAGACGTAATCGGCTCCGCCTTGCCGCCCTACACCACCACGTTAGAGTTTTACGATTATTGCCTGCAATGATATTGTTATTGTTATTTGAGGTCCATTATAATCTTCCACCACGAATGGGCTCTTTCTTTGTTCTGACGCTTAGGCAGCAACTGCTCCAAAGTGTTACTTTTTGACTTCGGTTATGTAGATTAGAGTTTCGCTTTTGCATGGCGACCCAGCCCGATCCCATTCTTGGCTGCGGTTTCCTCTCTTGATCGGGTTTGGTCTCACATTACGTCGTTTCTTCGGGGATATTCAATCCGTCTGGGATCGGGTCCGCTTTGCAAGAAGGCATCAGCAAAAAATAAAAACAAATATCGGTTCGCTCAAGGTCTGGAACCGCAAAGTTCCATTATCGCTTGCTTGCTCGCCCGGGAGTCGATGAACGTTGAAGAACTGACAGCAGACCGGAGAAAAATTGCGCTCATAAATATCATTTTCACATCATCGCCCTGCGACGACAAATCGTCGAGAAACCGCAATTTACTCCCTTTCCATTCATCGTTCGATCTGAAAAGCGCTCAAGAGAAGACCAATCCGGGTCGGATTTGGTTTTATGGGCCTCGTTTTTGATCGATCGTTATCAAGCACGAGACCCCTGCTTGGCAACTATGTATGCTCTGTTCGTCAAAATCGTGATCGCGTCTTCTCGAGTTGGAAATGTCAAAAAAAAAGCAGTGCGCTTGTTTACCTTTTAGCACAGGGGGAGAAAGTCTCTTGCTAGCGTAATCGATTTCAGTACACTAACGACGAATATGACACGAAAGAGGGTGGTGGGAAAACGAGACTCTCATTAGAGCGCCTAGATCGATTGACGCCATTTGTCATCGGGAACCCGGCTGTAGTCCGTATTCATATTATCTAATGAGTTTCTGAGCTGTCATCGCCACCGGCGAAACCATGCTAAGCTGCAGTGTGGGACCCCCAAAGGGGGAAGACAGATTCGCACCTGTTTCGGGATGACTTCCGGACCCCGGGAGAAGAGCATGCATGCAGATGACCCACTCCTGTCTGCATTCCAGTTTGCCTGCCAACCCCGGGGGTCACACGATTTGCTTGCCATCTTGGCGAAGCGACAGAGGGTCCCAACCCGAGGCGTGACTCGCTGCCGCACTGCGCCTACTTTTCGCCGCTAAGCGGAGCAGCTCATTTTGTCATTAAAATCATGTGTTTACTGCTCTGAATTGCTCCTCATCTGCTCTGCTCTACTCGTTCGTTCGTTCGTTCATTTGTCCCTTGCCGGTGAAAGAGAGTTGTTTTCCTCGTTAAAATTACATACACAAACAAGCCCGAAAATTGTCCGGCCGCTGCTTCGTGGTGAGCGATCTAACGTGGAAGACGTTTTGCGGCTCTTGGTGCTCGCCTCGCTCTCTATGGGAAACGATAAAAAAGAAATTACGGATTCAGCTTCTTTCTCCTGCTCCGCTCCGCTCCACGCTCCCCAATGCACGCGAGGCTGGTTTTCGCACACATTGCAAACGCATGGGAGAAGACGACGAAGAGCAGGAGGAGGAGGGAGAGCAAAAAAAAACACGAGACAAACAGCAATTTCTCAATCATCTGAAACGCGCGCGACCGATCAGTTTTCTCATTCTCACACTTTGTGGCCTCTGAGAAATTGGTTCGATTGGCTCGTCGTCGTCGTCGTCGGTAGCGGCAGTTCCTGAGCTGGACCAAAATGGAGCTAAAATTATCTCACGCTCGGGTCGAGATTTGTGCGGCTTCTGCGAATCCTCCGCAGATCGTTTACATTCGTCAACATTTTGACAAATGAACGATAAGTATGCGCCTAACTACGCCCGAAACGATCAGAACGGTCACTCCGCGCTGCGGTGGAATCAAACGCGTGGCTAATGGCCGCGAGGAATTAGATTTGCAACGGTGTTTTGCTTCCATTAGTCGCAGCACGAAGCCCCTCATTTTCGGGCGACCAACCGGCCATCAATTCTTCGAAATCGATAGAGAACTAATCAGGCATCGCAGGAGTTTATCGCAGCGTGATGCGGCGACTCACTCTGGGCAGTTGATTAGATTCCGTGTCTGTTCCGCACTTCTTCGTGGAAGAATCTCTCACGTCGTCGTCTCCCGTACGTGGAGTTATGAAATTCATCGTCGTCGTCGTCACCATGGCTGCCGCCCTGTGTGGTCGCCATATTTTTCCCCTAGTTTATGTTTATGTGATAATTTTCGAAATTAATAACCATTTTTAACCTCTCTCTCTCTTTTCTTCTTTTCATTTCAGTTGTACGTCGCGATATACCGGTGAATTTTGTGAATTTCCGAATCCGTGTCACATCGGTGCGGGTCCTCGGTGTCAGAACGGGGGCACCTGTGAGGTGACGTCCCGCGATGGCATTCCGTCGTTTTCGTGTCGGTGTCCGATCGGTTTCACCGAGAGTTTGTGCGAAATTCCGGTGAAGAACGCGTGCGATTCGTCTCCGTGCAACAACGGCGGTACCTGCAAGCTGAAGTCCCTGAGCGAGTACACGTGCATGTGCGCCACCGGTTATTCGGGTAAGTGATGCGAACGCTTCTTTGACAGTTGTCCTTAATTTTCCTAACCTCACTTTTTTGTTTCGGGGTTTGTTTTCATTTGCAGGAAAATATTGCGACAAGCAGAATCTCTGCGCGTCGTCTCCGTGTCGCAACGGAGGCACTTGCACACTGTCCCCAAACGGGCATGTCAAGTGTATTTGCCCGAAGGGGTTCAAGGGTTCGACGTGCTCCGAGGACATCGAAGAGTGCATCAAGAACCCTTGCGTCAACGGTGGCAAGTGCGTCAACACACATGGATCCTACCAGTAAGTACCACCCAAATCAAAACATGACCAGATTTGACCGTAACCGTAATCGACGTTGACTGCTGATGTGATGGCTAGATTAGAACGGTAACTTGATCCAGCTACTCACTCACACACATGAGTCAGAGCTTGTTGAGGTCTTCATTATTCAGCTAGCGCTCGGCGGTTGATGATTACACTGTACGAGACACATTGAGGTTGATGATGATCCAAGAAATCATAAAAAAACGGCTTGCGCCATCACCGCGCCACCAACGTGACTGACGAAACCTAGAAGTTCTTCAGCTCCCCATCATCATCAACAACAACAACAACAACAGCAACAGCAACAGCAACAAGAAATGGTCATTTTCGCTCGCTACGTTTTGGGGTCTATTTTCGTGTGCCTATATAGGTACGAACACTCTGAACCAGAGCGAGGAGGTGCACCATATCCCCCCAAGAATGATGACTCTAAGTCAATGAACTATGAAAAAGTTACGAATTTGGTTAATCTGAAGAGCTCTCGGGTTCAGCGGAAAGAAGCAACAGCCGTGAGAGAGAGAGAGAGAGAGAGAGGGGGAGGTCGATGCTAAGTGTATGTTAATGTATTTTAATACGAGATGTAGCATGTTTCGTATCCAGCAGGCCCGAGCGGTCGAGATTTCGGACGAACGAGAAACACAACGAAATCCAAGAGGTACACGTTTTTTAATTTTACCTCACCTCCCAACCGGTGATTCCCTGGTTCCTTTTGAACCATTGGCATGAATTCCTTTTTGTATTTGTGTACGCTCCACTCCGTTCGAAAGGCTGACTGGACCCCGGCCGGCCGGTCGGTATGAAGAGAACTGGTTCGTTTTTATTGCAATCCGCAGCACTGCTGTGACTTCGACGATGATGATGATGATGATGATGAAATATTAGAGACTGCTCGTACTGAGAATTGAGACACGGCCAGGTTTTCGTTTCGGAAAAAAAGTTACATTTTACGAACTTGTCGCGCCGTAACTAGATCTTTCGATGGCCGAGGAGAAATCCGGGCAGTCCGAAAGATTAAAAAAAAAAAAAGGTTAATGAAAGCAGAAGATGCGTCATTTCTTCCTTTTGCGGTCGTAAATGTCCCAACCCAGAAACACCGTTTGGGCTTGAAGAGAGTCGTTGGATTGGGATTGTAATTATCCCCGTTGATGACATGGAATAAAAGACGAGAAACAACCGAGCTTATAAAAGAGGACATTTTTGCGGCATGATGCTCGACGACAACGGACAAATTAGAAGGCAATTTGGATTGGAATTTCGTTTTTTTTTTTTTTGGAACCGGATATCCGGAGGATTTTGGCAGCAGACTTGCTGAACACTTGTCCGTTAGACGCAACAAACTTAGCCCACAAACCTTATCTAAAATCTACAAAATGTCGAGTGTGAATCCAGGAAACTCAAACGATGAACGTAAAGGAAATTCTAGGTCAACTTCAAATGACTACAGCAGTTTTTAACCAAGAGAATGATTTCAAGTTCAAATTTATAGAATCTCCGGGACAAGACCTTGATAGCATTTCTAAAAGACTTCTGATGCAAACCTCTTCGGACAAATACCGAGTGCTTTGAGACTCCGAAGTCCAGGTGAATCTAGCGGCTAGTTCAGAGAACTCCAAGAAATCGTATCTGGGATCTGAACTTGTCTTGATCCAAAAATGTGCTAAGCCTTCCCTGCAAAGAAGCCTAAGTTGAGAGCAGGTTTAAGCTCGTGTAGCTCTCTAATGTCAGGAAGAAGAATACGTTTGTTCAAGAGCAGTGCTGCTGATCATTGGAATTTTGCAGAACTGCTTAATGATATGTTGTCTTTGCTAGAAGTTACTGAATCCTGAAGAAGACAACACAACAATCCAGAATACTCTTTTGCAATCCAAAGGGACTCCATCTATAAGTCCTGCGAACCTCGAGCAGGAACTCGCTGTAGATTCTCTGGGGAAAAAAATTGTTGGTGATTTAAGTCCATGCCATTTCATGAAGAATTTCAAGGGACTTCTAGGACACACTGAATTGATTTAAAAGAAACCCGGCCAATAATCCGCAAATTCACGATAATAATATATCTTAGTCGGTAAAGGTACGGTATTCGTATTACCAAGCCGGATGCGGCGGGTTCGATTCCCGGTCCGGTCGAGGAAATCTTTTGCATTGGTTGGCATAGAAATCTCTCAACTTAATGAGTTGAGAGCCGACAAAACACTCGCTACATAAGCGTAAAAAGCCCGGAATAAGAAGAAGAAGAAGAAGTAGGTTAAAACCTAAAGGTCTCCAGAGCATGTTGACAGGCATGTCTATAGGAACTTTAGGGCAAATTTAGTGGGAGTTAAGGGCGAAGACAAGTTAAAAGAAATATTAGAAAGATCGGATTTAGATCCAAAATTCAGCGAATTTGGACCAAAATACAGTCAACTCTCCACAACTCGAGAGTTGTAGAACGTTCACTGTAGTTCTAAACCATCCTAACAAATTCTCATAATGAATTTTGTAAAACTGCGTATCCTGATGAGGTTTTGTGGATCTTGGAAGTAAGTCCGGAGGACTTCCAAGAAGTCGCTGAATGGATCTCACAACAATTCAGAAGACTCCGTGACAAGGCCTGTGCTTCTCGAGAATGAGACTATGTAGACCCAGTAGAACCTGTGGACAAATTCATTCACCGTCGGTGGTGCAATGGCAACTCAGGCCGGGAAATACTTCAGGGTACAAATTTATAGGATTTCGAAAGTGAACCCCACGAATCCCCAATATAAGTTAAATTGAACAAACTTCAACCATATAGATGGTGCTTGGAGTGTGACCTGAAGATCCCCACGGCAATTATACCGTACTAAACAGGACAAGCCTTAACGACCTGCTACAATACAAGGCCACTTGGTTCAAACTAGTGTTTTCAACCCGAGAGGTCCGGGAAACAAATTCCGGGAATTCTGGCAAAATTCAAATTCATAGATTCCAGGACTCGCTTGAATTCCTGGGAAACACCATTTTCGTACAGAGACCACACTACACACACATTTTCCCATAAATTAGCCACACTACCCATTTACTAACTGGATTTACCGGAAGAAACTGGAAGATCTAGTACACACTTCCGGGGAAGGAGGCAAAAACTTCCGAGGGACGTTGAAAGAAATTTCCAGGCGAACTTGAAAAAGCTTCTCATGGAAATTGGAAAGTCAGAAGAAACTATTGGTGAAGTCAGAACAAACTTCGGAGGGAAGTTGGTAAAACAATCCAGAGAAATAGAAAGACGCTACCGGAGGGGACAACCGGATGAAACTTCCGGAGAAAGTAGGAAAACTTTTGGGAAAAGTTCGAACACAAGTTTCCGGACTAAGTTGCAAAAATCTTTAGTGCGAAGTTGGATAAGTATCAAGGCCAAGAAACTGACAAGCGAAGTCTCTTCGTAGACGCTTCCAGGCATGTTGTGAAAAATTCCCTGGGGAAGTTGCAAGAGACTTCCAGGAAAAGTTGAAAGGAATCTCGGGAAGTCAGAAAACACAAGCAAAGGCAGTCACAGCGATTTCTGGGGAAGCCGGAAGAAACTTCCAGAAGAATTCTTCCGTGAGAAGTCAGAAGTAACTTTCGGCTGGAAGCCAGAAGGACTTCAGAGCGAAGTTAGAAGATTCTGTTGCAAAGGAAAATTTGAAGAAATTTCCGGTAAGGTTGGAAGAAACCTTCTTGGAAATAAAATTAAAAGTCGGTCAAAATCATCAACGTGAAGTTGGAAATCTCCCGTAGGAAACCAGGGTGAATCAGTAGAAATATCTGAGGGGAATTCGTGCAAATATTCCGAGAGAAAATTAATTATTAAAAGTTATCGAATTTTGTTTTACGCTTCATAAGTCGACCGGCAGAAGATCTAATTCTGATGAATATGTAACTAGCAAAAATTATATCTGGTGTCTGGATAACCATATTTCCTCATTACCGGGAATTCCTGGGAAGAGCCATCAAATGTTTCCCGATTCCCGGTAACCAGAAATGGCCGCGAAATGGAAACACTAGTTTGAACTCTTAGACCCTTAAACACGACTTTGAGCTCCCCCTGAAAAGTCGCAGAAGTCCGCTGGATTTTTACCTTTCATTCAAACTTACTTCACACACGCCCTAGAGCTCTCCAGGACCAGTTCCAGAAGGTCACCACATTTGTTACTGAAGTTTTCTGGGCGCCAATGAAGTCACCAGAATCTGTTCATCGTTTTGATTATAGTAAACAACTCACACACGTCCTAGAACTCTCCAGAACCAGTCCCAGCCCAAGTAACATTGCAAGTTTTGTAGAGGTTTTAAAGCATTCTACAACCCTCATAAAACCAGAATTGTTACTTGGGAGAAGACCACTGGATTTGCCCCGAACTCTTCTTCAGAAGACCACCGGATTTGAGCTTTCCACTGAGTTCAACGGAACTGTTCTTCAAGTTCACTATACTATGATCCTCAATCATGCCTTAGAGCTCCCTCTGACCACTGGAATGGGGTCTTAAGTTCTCTAGTTTTTGGTACTGATCGACTGAGAAATGTATGAGCGTTGTTCAATATTGAAAAGCCATCCACAACGCTCACTAAGTTCTCTGGGGCTGCCTTTGAAGAACCTTGGATCTGTTCTAAAGCTTCTCAAGACCAGCTTCTCACAAAGGCCCTAGATCATTGGTGCCCAAACCCTTTTTTTTACCAAGGATGTATCTTTGATCTGTGTATTTACCAATCATTTCGCTCGAGATTGTCTCATCATAGAGATCTAAGCACCCTATGCGGCCCGCGGATCGCACTTTGGGTACAACGACGCTAGAGTCCACCGGATTGGTCTACAATGTCCTCTGAAGTGTCCTGAACCTGTCATCCACAAATTCAATTCAATAAGATCTTCACACGCGCCTCAGAGTTTTCCTGAGCCAGTCCTAGAAGAACACCAGATTAGTCTTTAAGCCGCTGGAGTACCCTGGATGTTTTCTTCAAGTGCACTTTACTAACACTTTCATACA